TAATGATGGAATAAGTTAACTCATATACATGGTGGGATAAGTTCTCCTAGAATAATTAACCACAGAATAATTATTCCTGAAATAACTAGTTTTCAACCAAAATTAAGTATTCAGACATCAATCAAAGTTTACCAACAACTTTCACTCCACAACAAAAAGCACAAAAGAGTATTTCCATCATCTCAACACGATTATACATTATCACAATATTTGACAATCAAGGTCTTAACAATATAGAATCAGAAACCATAGTCAATGAACTGCAATGCAATGATTGCAATGTTGTGTAGAGTGAATGCATGTTTGTCCTATGATACACATTCATTGAATCTCAAATCAAAAATTTTGGGTGACACGCATGGTCTATGTAATTGCCGAAACCATTTCCCTTCGGTGTGTGTCACTTGCCGAAATCATTTTTCTTGGACATATTTCACTCGCTGGAATCATTTTCATTCGACACATTTCACCGGTGGTAATCATTTTCCTTCAACGTTGTCGAAACTATTTACTTCTACGTCATCATCATTGTCATGACCCCATTTAGGGATCATAACCGGCGCTAAGGAGAAGAATCCCAAGGCCAGCCTTACCAGAATTCTATAGAAAATCGAGCAGCGTTTCCTTTGTTTTATGCCTGAAATTTCCCCGTCTCAGATTTTCACAACACAAATAATAACAACTATAATACCACAACATACAATCCATCAATAATCTAATTGTCACGCAATAAAAACAATTTATCTCTAAATGTGAAAAAGAGTTTCAAACTAGTCACTTGACTACAATTCAAAGGAATATCCTGACTTTAAATAAAAACTGACAAATAGAGCGACTTTAAGAGTTTTAAAGAACTAAATAAACCTAGCGAATCAACTGTTCTCTTTCCACGCGAAGCAGGGACTCACCAGATGCTAACAAATCACACTCTCTAGTTAATGAAATCCTCCTCAATACCACCTGAGTTCTTTGTAAAAACAATTAGCGAGGAGTGAGATGATAGCTCAGTGAGTAATAACACTTAAACACAACCATTTTAATGAGGGACAAGTTAGAAAATATGCTACTATGATAATCAAATGGTGAAGTAATGCTTTTTCAGAAATCATAATAATATACATCTTATGTGCTTCATATAAGCAAAATCAATGTAAATACTTGATAGCAATTCGAAACAATCTAATCATAGTGTTCCAACAATAATGTTTACGACCCGATTTCAAAAACTAGAGATTTCGAAGTCAATTTCGCAACTTTGACAATTTTGTTAAATTTTTAGAAATCGTCATTTATTTATTTAGGAAAATTAAGAAAACCATTTAAAAGATTAATTTTTGAAAGAAAACAATTTGAATAAAACCAAAGTCGGGTAAGGTTCAAATAATTCGCTAAGGAAGGATTTAGGCATCTTGGAGAATCCGCTAGCACGTGGTTTATCGACGTATTTTAGAGTTTGACTAATACTTGTGAAAAAGTTTGTTTTTGTTGTGCGGAATTTGAGATAAATACGAGAAAATATAAACGCGAAAAATAAGACAACAGATTTACGTGGTTCACCAACAAATTGGCTACGTCCACGGGAAGAGAGGGAGCAGTTTTATTATGGAGAGGCAAAAACAGAATTACAGAATAGGGTTTCCCATAGCGTCTATATATAGTGCTAAGCTACGCCCTAACAGGCTTGGGCCCAACATACAGAATCAACAGAAAATTAAGGGCCCAATACAACAACATTGTATACCGTCGGCCCGGGGGCGTCTCCGCCCCCCCGGACCCCCAGGCCAGGGGGCGCGTCGCCCCCCTGGACCCCCCGACTCGCTGACCGGGGCAGCGACGACCCCCCGTCCTTTCTGTTTGTAGCGGGTCCGATTCAAGGCATTCAACAGTTTTAATAACTAAAGTTTGTTGATACTTATACAATCATCTTATTCTAAGTATGAAATAAGTCAAATGCTAAAGTGTCAAAATAATAACTTTAACTTAACATTTTTATCCTAGGTCAAAACTTTGAACTAAATAGTTAGTTTAAACTCATAAACATGGATTTAAAGCTTTTAAATAAACTATGAAAGAACATAAAAAGTTCTCCAAGTTATTCTAAAAGCTTAAATTAGCTAACTTAAAATGAGTTTTTAAAAAAATTGAAAACTTGGATAAAAATACCTCCGTAAGAATTCATCTAAGTTGACAAAAAATGAATGTTAGAATTTAAAAGGCAATTATCGCAAAATCACGATACAAGGAAAATAAAGAACGAATAAAACTTGGACTCTTTTAACTCCACTTGCTGGTACTGCTGGCGCTACTTCCGAGCTTTCTAAGCCCCCAAAAATGATATTTTTAGCCCTGCTTCATCAATAATATTAGAGAATCCGCTAACACGTGGTTCCAAAGATAATATTTCCAGCTTCTATGGAACTACTGTAACCCTGTTACTAAACTGTTGCCATTTACTCGGATTTTAACTCAAAGTTATTCGTTTTTCCTTTCGAAACTTAACGGAGGTCAACTCCAAGAGGATCAAATGCAAGGGAAGAGAGTCTATTGGACTCGAGCAAGAGAGTTAATAAGAAAAAAAGAATTAGTAAGTATAGATGAACTCCACAGAAAACATTACGAATTAAAATCATCGTCAAACTAACTAAACAGGAAACACATGATCATTAATTAGTCACAGCTTTCAAAACTTAAGTCGTATGATAAACTAGACAAATTTATTATAATTTTTTTGTAAAACGAGGAAAAGCTAAGTCATGTAAAGGCAGGGATCATTACAGAGAACGTAAAACCAAAAATATTCAATACTAAACAACATATATCAACCTTCTTAAACAAAGCACAAGACAAAGAAAACTATTTTAAGAAAATGAAGGAACTTGGAAATAAATTACACATTCTGAGAAACAATATGTGAGCTTAAGCAAGATTATAGTATTCTAATCTATATTGGAACATACAAAACTAACATTAAGACAAGCAGACAACTTCTTCTATGTATCTAGTGTGACTCGAAAATAAAACATAAACTAATAACATCAAAACAGAAAATGCTAAAGAAGAGAAAATAAAATACTTGATTTTATAGTCTTAAGTCTAATTAACCAGCTCATAGATTAAAGTTCAATTAACACATTCTTAGCTAAAAATTACTCATCTCTAACCTACAAAATTATCACACTTCAATTGATTTTAACAAAGAGTAGATCTAAATTGACAAAGTACTAACATATACCATATCACTTGGGTGCATAACTGATATATACCAACTCTAGGTAAACTAAGCATAACAAAACTTCAAAAGTGTACTTGGAAGAAATCATTATAAGGATAACATGCTCTACCATTTCGGAAATTGAGAAAATCAACAAAAGATCACGACCAGTAAAGCAACACATGACTTTTAGCTCTCGAATAACAACAAATCTAAATGAATGACCAGCAAATAGGACGAATTCCAAACTGAGTCAATACAATCAATTTAGATCTATAGCTCAAAGGAGTGACATGAGGATCTAAGGAATTTAGGAGCTACCAAAGAGAAGTTGAGTTAAAAACTCAGCTTCATCTAGAGCTCGACTAATCCTAGAATCAACTCATGACTCCCGAAAGAATAAGATCCTTAACAGGACGAACAATGGCAACAATGACAATAAACGCTTGATGACACACAACAAACACTTACAAATAGAGATGGCCAAACTCACAGTAAAGAATTTTCAAACCTTTAGAACCAATAAAAGACTAATGAACAACTATATACCAAACCCAACAGAATAGCAAGATCACATATTGTTAGAATCTGTGCATCCACTATCAGTCAATGGACTAGGTCCCTGACACACAATCGTAAATATAACAGAAAGTAAATGCAGTAAGATAATAGAGGAGTTTTACGCGGAAACCTCCTTGCTCAAGGGGGTAAAACAACGGCCTGTCTCACAGGATTTCCAAAAACAGTTTCACTAATCTTCACAAGCAAAAGGAAACCGATAACATAAATGTGAGAAAAAGTTTTTAATCTCACTATTAAGCAATAACTCTATTGCTTGATGAGCCTGAGTAGATATTACTTTCCACACTAAGCTATCTCTCTCTAAGCTTTTGTTTTTTTCCAAGGCTAAGACAAGGTTAGTCTCAATGTTTTTCAGTTTTCCCTCCATCTCAACATGTAAACTAGTAGACTTTCCTTTCAGTTTTTCAGACTTCTCGTTCATCAGATACAATAGGTTTTTGAGTTCTAGTTTTTCAGATTCTAGAACAATCATTCAATTAGAGCCATTTTCTCACTAATTTTATCTTTGTTTTCATTTAGACTTTCAAACTCAACATTCATGGAATCTCTTTCAGAAGTTAATTCAATCACAGAATCAATCATCACATTTGCTAATTTTCTCAGTCTTTTAAGAGAATAAATATTCAAATTTTGCTTGATATCAAGAAGTGTTACCTTATTAGGGGTGTGCAAAAACCGAACCGACCAATAAATCGAACCGATAAAATGTTATTGGGTTATTGTTATTGGGTTATTAGGTTATTGGGTTTTTAATGGGTTTAGAAAAAATAATTATTGGGTTATTGGGTCGGTTTCGGTTTTTCCTATTGGGTTATTGGGTAAACCGATAACCCAATAAGACGATAGTTATTTACTACTTTACCCTTCCTCAATATTAAATATACATAATTTAATACATAAATAGATTCAATATTAGCTTTTCAGGCTATGTGATTTTTTGGTTAGAAAATTGGTGAGAACTTTGTTGATTATCTGGTGGATCAAACAACTGAAGATTGTTCATTGAAATATTTTATTTTAGTTTTAATTCTAGTTCGTAATTGTTGGCGATAGCTTTTGCAAGTTTGTGAATGTTAGTAATTTGATCAACATTCAAAGTTTTCTATTATGTTTTGGCGGTAAGTTGATAACATGTAATTATAACATACGTACTATTATATATTATTTGATCGACATTTTCTTATAGGGTTAATCGAAACCGAACCGATAACATAAAAAACTGATAAATCGATAAAAAATTTCTTATTGGTTTATTATTGGGTTAGCATATTTTAAAACCGAAAACCGATAAACCGAACCGATTATATGTAAAACCGAACCGAACCGACCGATGCACACCCCTATACCTTATCCTCAGCATCTTCATCATCTGACTGAGCCATAAGAGTAAACATTTCATCGAATATATTATTCTCATCATGAACCACCACCATTGATGCATCATTAGATTCATCAAAGTCTTCTGAATCACTTGAAGAATCTCCCCATGCAGCAAGAGCTTTCTTGACCACATAATCAGTTGCAGCTTTTCACTCACTTTTATCAAGTACCAGGTCCCTGGGTTTCTCTTTCTTGCCTCTTGGTCTTTGATATTCTCTGTTTTCAGCTTTAAGTGATGGACAATCATTTATAAAATGTCTAGTGTTTCCACATTTGTGACAAGTAGCATTTGGAGTTGCAGTTCGAAGAACATTTGATCCCTTTCTGAATCCCTTGTTTTTTCTCATAATCTTCTGAAACCTTTTGATAAGGTAAGCCATATCATCATCTTCACTGGAGCCTTCTTCAAATCTGTGTTTCAGCATTAAAGACTTATCCTTTTTGGCTTCTTTCTTTGACTGATCATAACTTTGGGTCATCTCATGAGTTTTGAGATTTCCAATAAGAGCATCCATTGTCAATACTTTCAGATCTTTTGATTCAGTGATTGCATCCACCTTGCTTTCTCAGGACTTGGGAAGGATTCGAAGAACTTTCCTGACTTGTTTGCTCATACTGATGGGTTCTTCAAGACTTCTCAACTCATTTGTGGTTGATGACAGCTTTGTGAACATCTCATGAATGGTTTCACCTACTCTCATTTTGAAACTTTCATACTGAGAGGTAAGCATATCGATCTTTGACTCTTTTACTTGTTCAGTTCCTTCATGAGCTGTTTTTAAGAAATCTCAAATCTCCTTTGCTGATTCACAAGCTGAGACACGATTGAACTCATTAGGTCCTATACCACATACAAAAAGCTTATTTTCTTTGTAGCCCTTTTCAATCTTCTTCCTGTCAGCTTCATCGTATTTGCGTCTAGGCTTTGGAACAAGTCTAGTGATTTCACCATCTTTTTCTTCAATCATAGGAACAAATGGTCCATCTGAGACAATATCCCACGGTTCACTATCTTTAGCCATAAGGAAATCATGCATGCTAACTTTCCACCAGTTATAGAAGTGACCATTGAACCGAGGAGGTCGAATCGAAGACTGACCCTCTTCCAGATTGAGTGGAGCAGCCATTCTAGAACAGGAATTACTCTCTTGGTATTAACCAGATAGAGAGTACCCGCTCTGATATCACTTGTTAGAATCTGTGCGTCTTTTATTAGTCAATGGATCAGGTCCCTTGACACACAATCGTAAATATAACAGAAAGTAAATGCAGTAAGATAACAGAGGAGTTTTACCTGGAAACCTCCTTGCTCAAGGGAGTAAAATCACGACTGTCTCACATGATTTTCAAAACAGTTTCACTAATCTTCACAAGCAAAAGGAAATCGATTACAAAAATGTGAGAAAAAGTTTTTAATCTCACTATCAAGCAATAGCTCTATTGCTTGATGAGCCTAAGTAGATATTACTCTACCCACTAAGCTATCACTCTAGACAGAATTTTCTAAGCAATCTCACAGACTGCCCACTAAATCACTAACCTATTAATGATTTAGAATTTTATATACAACCACACTGATTCCTTTACAGATTTAGGATCAGTTTACATGTAAGATCGAAAGAATATATTCTCAAACAACTACACAATGTTCACCTGAGTTTCGGTTGTTCTTGAATGATTCTTCTTCTTGATTTTCTTTAGCCTTTGCAAGAGTTCTTGAATGTGCTTTTTCAAGTTGCAAAAACTAACTGTGAATATGGGGATGTTTTGTTTATGTAGAAAGGTCACAAAACGTAAAACAATCCCATTGGCTGAGGATTCTAGCGCGTCTGCCCCTTATGCCACTGTTGGAGACTATGCATCAACTTTTCGTACTTCCAGCTGGCAGCCAAAAAGTATATTGAGCCAAGAACCACGTTCCTTCATAAGGTCCCTGAATTTGTCAAATAATCAAAATTACAAATAACACATATTTTAATATAAAAGCTAATGTAACTTTAAAGAGAATAACGATATACATAATCAAAGATCGGAAAATCTTAGCTTGAAACGACTAAACTAATCCACATGGAATAGTGTAAACATCATATTGAGATGAGGGAACCAAATCTTCATGTGATTGACCAAAAGTGGAACATAAAAAATGTTCATTAAACACGTAAAGGAATAAAAGAACATAGCCAAAATACTCGAAAAATCAGCATTCAGCAGAAAAGATAATAAAAACATATAGAAATCAGGAAAAAAATAACTAGCCTTAAATTAGCTTCAATATATATACTAAAATCAAACTAAATAGAAAGGGAAAGGAAAGAGTTACCTGATTCTTGACAGCGACCGGAACACGACGAGTTGAGAAGGTGACTTTACTTCTTCCACTCGAACAAACACCAAAACTTTTAACTATTTTGAACCGAGAACTCCCATACCTTATAGGGGTACTACTCTCAAGTCCAAAAAAAACCTCTCCTTAAATAGTTAATGAGAAGGGTATTTATAGGGCAGCTCCTGGGTCGAATTTGAGGGTGAGAAACAATGTGGAACTTTGATAATGGGCCTAAAATTTTGAATTCCAAACAGAACTCTATCCAGAAATAATAGAATATCCTAAATTGATTCTCCAATGCTTAACAAATTCGCACGAGGTGGATGGCTGGGGTTGATCTTTCGGCCTTACGAGCTACGTGACTCGGTCTCACGCTGGTGAGGACGAAGTTGCAGCTGGAATCAGCGCTTGAACAGTAGTAGGCGTACTTTTTGTCGAGGTAATCAGAGAAGACGACAAGAAAAAAAAGTATCGCCTAGACACCGTTGTTGACGCGTGAGGGAAAAGGAGACGCTGTGGGACTTCTGGGTTCTTTTGAGAATAGAAAATAAGTTGGCTGGACTGGATCGATTGGAGTTGGGAGTGGGCTGCTTGAAATTGTAATTAAGGCTCAAAACTTGGTCTGTTAAAATGGAGGGAAGAAATTAGTTAAATTTAGAGTGAGGATTGATTAATGGATTAAAGTTATAGAAAAAATGTTAAAGTATTCATCATTCCCCTGAAATTGAAGCTTTTTATTTGATGTACACTTAAACTATATTCTGTTTTAATTACCCCCTCAAACTTGTTTATTCCACTATCACGTACACCTTTTTGTCTGATGCTCCTACTGTGATTACACACGCGCGTCAGCTGGCAAAAATAGTGATGATATGGATTTCCACCTGGATAAATAATAGCCACCTAGATAAATTAAAATGGCAAAAAATAAATATCATATTCCAACTTCTTTCCCGATCGCCGTCACTCTCCACGACCAACCACCGTATCTCCTCTTCTCATCTCTCTCTTTCCGATGCAAAATCAATTCTTCACTCTAACCTCCTTTCCCCTGCAAAACAACACGGTTTCTTCCAGCTCACATAACACTCCATCTCCTCTCACCTTACTCAATCAATTGAATCGGAATCGTTATCCATTTTCAACGATGAGAAACAACTCCGCTACCCGAAGAATTGGCCCTTGGGCTTCGATAATGATGATGACGACGGTGACGTCGTCTGCGGACGGTCAATTTTAAAATAGAGATTTTACATTTTTTTTTACTGTTGTAACTTTATGACGTGGTAAAAACTCACTCCCTCACGCGCCTAGTAGAGTGTGATTTCAATTTCTACGCCAGGTAGACAGAAAAGGTGCCCGTGTTGGACGAATAAACAAGATCGGGGGTGGGGGTGGGTGGGTGGGTAATTCAAACAAAATAAAGTTAAATTGTACACCGAATAAAAAGCTTCAAGTTTAGGGGGGTAATGAATACTTTCGCCTAAAAAAAAATTAAACTTAAGAATATAATCGAAATTGAGCTTAATTAGTTAAATTCGGTCAAATCTTAATCAAGACGAATTTAGACAAAATTAATTTACTTAACGAAATGAAATGATTAACCTAATTATAAATATAAATAATTTAAATTATAATCATAATTTAAACTAAACTAATTTAACAAAACACTTACAAAAATTTAAAATCTTTTTTTGATGATTTTTGAAATATTTACAAAATATGATAATTATATAGAACATATATATTACTTAAAAAATTATAAAAATGTTAAAACTATTTAAAATATTTTTAAAATATTTTAAATTTTATAAAATCAGTTATTTCAAGTCGTTTAGAATTTAAGAAATTTGAAATTTAATTCCAATCATGAAGGATCAAAATAGGGTGTCAACAAATAACACGTCGATATCATCAACTTAATTATCAACCATAGTTCAACGAGTACATATTAATATCATCACCTCAATTATTCATCACACCATACACCTCAAAATATCATAGAACAACCACATCATAATGTTTCAACAATAACACATCAATATCATCACATGGCCTTTTTTATCAACCCAGTCTTTATCACTAAGGTTAATTAGTTTTAGCAATTAATCCATCGCCTCATTTTCATTACTCCCCTACATATACAAGAAAGAGAGTTCAAGATTTCACAAGGTTTAAAAGTTCATTTGCCTTGAGAAAATCACATAATCACTTTGGGGACTTGAGTTTTTCCCCCTTCTATGAGTCTCTAAATTAATGTAATCTAATTAAATAAGTAACAATAAATATGATTTCGAAATGGCATAATACACATATTGGACCCTAAATTTGGCTTCAAATTTTAACTTTGACCTCCAACTTTTATAATGCACAAACAGACACTTTAACTATCCAACTTTTAAATAAACAAACACATGAGTCCTACATGGCAAAATACACGTAGGACAAAAATTGACATGCAGGATGACATGTTAGGACATGTGTGTCTATTTGTTCAACTTTACACAAGTTATGTCTATATGTGCACATCTAAAGTGGAAGGGCATATATGTGATTTGAAGCCAAGTTAAAGGGCATATTTATGTATTATGTCTTTCGAAATAACAACATCCATATCAATGATTTTGGAATCGATTCAAATTGACCCAAAAATCCATTTGCGAAAATCACGTTAAGCAAAGGTTTTGAAATTAAATGGTGAAAAATGAGTTGAAATCATGCTCAAAACTCTAATTCACTTAAAACACAAGTTCATGAGAAAATCCCCCAATAGTCAATGTTGGTTCCAATTGCACATGCAAGTGTACGTGGTCACACAAGTAATATAGTGTCTCTTAAAAGAACCTGATTATCGAACTCAAAGGACTTATCAATTAATTTTTCTTACTATGTTATATTAATTCTAATTATTTTTTAAGGGAAGGATTTCAAAAGATGGATATCTTAACTAAAATAAAAATAAAGATAAAATAAGTAAAAACCATTAACAAAGAAAAGATAGATTTTTACACAACCAATGAATGAATCGATCTAGGATTATAATTTAACTAAAAATCATGTTTAACATCAATTTCATCAACTTATTTGATTAGCTAGTCATTGAATCACAGGGTTAAATATATGATCATGGTCTCTTGACCTCAAATTGCCTACGATAACTAACACCCTAACTACATCGTTGAGCGGGGATAGGATGGATTAAATAACGAGCATTAGGATTACTTCCTGTATTGTGACCCAAACAAGGTTGTTAGGTATATCCCTATCCTATAAAAGAATCAACCCTAGCTATTTAGAGTTAAACAAGCTCCTTATATCCCACGTTCTATCCTCTTATTCCTCTCCCGAGTTCAATTCGGACAATATATTTATTTCAATGGTGATCAAGCATCAAAATAGTAGTCACAAGAATATAAGAACAACTAATATGATAAACAATCATGTCGAATTAAAATAATTAAACAATCATATTGTAAGAAATATAATTCAAGAACGAGAAATTTATATCCACATAGACATAGAGCAATTACGACGAATCATTCAAAGAAAAATGTAAAAGAAAAAAAGAGAAAGAAAACATAAAACTTTAAATCAAGTTATTTTCTACATTGTATCCCCCTCCTCTAATAATTAATTATTCTTATGGACTATTTATAAATGTAGAAGACAGTGAATAAAATAATTAAGTCCAAAACAATTTAGAACTCAAAACTTTGACGGAATTGGATTTTTGTACGTGTTAAACTGCTTCGTCCGCCACCTTCAATTTGAAGTGTCTTCACATGTTGCCACGTGGCAGTCACTTATACTCAATTCAAATTCTTCAAAGTGCACTTCTAATATATTATATACGGAAAAGGACTTAAAATACCCTCAAACTATTAGAAATGATACAGAAATATCCTTCTTCCATCTACCTTTGGACTTTATATTAGCGTTATTTCTAACAAACCTCAATTTAAATTAAATTAATAAATTCATTAAATGAAGTGACAATCATCTATTGGTCACTTTATAATTAAAATTACTCATTCCCAAATCAAATCATCCGCCCAATCAATATGGCCCATCAACCCCATATTACCTACCAACTAAAGCTTTCCCCACCTCTTTCTCCACGTGCAATTTGCTGTTCTCCGGTCGAAAATTCAACTATTGGTTGCAATTACTTTTTAATTTCACTTGCTTTTATCATTTCATCTCTTTATATTTTTTTACGAAAAAAAGTCTAAAATACCCTTAAACTATTATAAATGAGATAAAAATACCATCCTTCCACATATTAGCCCTCAAATATCCCTCATATCTATCTTTGAGCTCCATATTACTCTTACTTCTGACATACCTTAATTTAAATTCAATTCATAAATTCATTAAATGATGTGGCACCCTATAAATCACTTAAACTAATTTAAAAATATTTCACCAATTCAAGTCAAATCAATTTGCCCCAAATCAAATGAAATCCACCCAAGTTAACTTTTGTTTCTATAGCTGGAACGAAAACCAGCTCAAATGAAGAATCATAGACCCATTTTGGGATCATCAACATCATTTCTCTAATAAATGTACCATGTGTCTTGAGTAGAAAAATTTAACCTATTGGCTTTATTAGTATCCGTAAATAGGCGAAAATTGATTAAGAAAACATCATTTTCTCATAAGAAATCGAATTCTACCTATGTCGTCTTGGTAATAAATTATAAATTAGTTATTTAAATAATTTGACAGATATTATAAACTCAAGAACTTTGATTCCAACCAACGAAAATTCACAAAATTTCATGAAAAGAATCTTTTATTTGTGGACTTTATTTATACATTTTTGTTTCACATTCAAAGTTAGATAAGTACACAATCTCAAAATTTTGAGCTATAATTATAAAAAATAAGAAGGCGAAAAAAATCGATCGATTATTTTTCCTGAGCGAACAAAAGCAGAAAGAATCACTATATTTAAAATATGAAACTACTAAACAAGAAAAAAAAGGATGAAACTCTAGGGCTTTGAAGAATAGAAAATACGGAATAGTGTCTAAAATATCGTTAAAGTATTAGAAATGGTACAAAATTATACTTCATTCAACTATTGACTCCAAAATAGCATTGTCATCCATCTTTGGATTTAAAATTGACCACTTATATAACGATTTCAAATTTAAACTATTTAAATATTTTTTAAATACGTGGTGCTCAACTATTTGTTATAATTTAATTTATTAATATAATTTATAAATCAATCCACTACCTACACGTTACTAATGCAACAACAGGAAAACTATTGAGGTTGAAAGTGTCTATACAAGTACATTTATCATACATTCAAGTCCTCAATCAAAACATATTATAATTCAAGTGGTTTATTATTTGAGTGGAGTTTAATTAGTAACGGAATAGTTGATTGATTTATAAATTATATTAATAAGTTAAATTATAACAAATAGTTGAGCGTCAAATATTTTAAAAAATATTTAAACAGTTTAAATTTAAAACCGTTAAATAAATTGTCAATTTTGAACTCAAAGGTGGATGACAAAAGTATTTTGAAGCCAATAGGTGGATGATAAATGCATTTTGAAGCCAATAAATGAATGAAAGAAAGTTTTATACAATTTCCAATACTTTAAAAATATTTTAAATCCTTTTCAATTTTAAATATTGAATCAATCACATTGTACCAAGAGAAAGTATGCAAAGTTTTTATTTTTACCGTGTTAATAAACTATAAAATATCTTTAACAAAATTTAAGGTGTTTCGTAATTTTTTTTTATTAATTATATATGCATAGCTTTAAAAAAGTATTTATTATATGACATGTAAATTATAATAAATTAAAGTCGAGGAGGATAATAATATGATAAATACGTGCATGTTATTTAATTTTAAATTAATTTATGAATTAAATTTACATATGCTCATAAAAAAATAGACAAGGAACCCAATACTATTCGTAAAAAAAGGATATGCATAAAGAAAGTGAATGCCTCACAATGAGAAGTCTTGTCAAAAGCATAACTTTGTTTTCTTTTTTTATTATATGGATATTCATAATACGATTCATATTATCCATTCGTACAAGTTACTAATAACAAGTTAAATTGAATTATAAATAAATATACCCTTCAATTATTTTTTTACAGCATACTGAAAGAGAAGAAAAAGATGGGAAATAAGTAGGGGGAGAGATAGACGACCTTTTCGGACTTGAAGACATTTTTGTGAAATCATTTATATGTATAAATTTAAAGATTGAATTGTCTTTTATCAATCTCCTGGTCCTTGCTTAACTCTTTGTTCCGTAAATCGATCGCTGATAGATCTGATCCGAATAGGTCTTGTTGAATGAATTGACTTCGATTTGATTTCCTGAAACATAAGCGGATCGGAACAATAGAACTAGACTAATCATTTTTGGACCAACACTTAAAATTTTATCATTTGAGATGTAATAAAAATATTTATTTTTTAATACGAAATGAAAAATATGATAACAATAGTCTCAGTTTAAATACTAAAATTCCAAGATAATATGCTAAATATTAATGTGTGATTAATATTTCAAATTGATCATTCACATTTTTTATATTGTCAAATGTATGCATGACTTAGCCTTTAAGTTCACTTCTATGCTCATTGCATCTTCGACCGAATTCTATTCACCAACCTAACTTTTTCTCTTTGTAATTTTCTTTATAAATATTGAATCTGTCACATTGTATCAAGAGAAAGCATGTAAAATTCTTATTCTTTTTAATATACCATAAAATATTTTAATTAAAACTTAATATGTCCAATAATATTTTATTTTTAATTATAAATGCACAACTTCAAAAATATTAAGTATATGACGTGTAAATTCTGATAAAATTTAAGTTGAAGAGGCTAATAATATGATACATGTCTGCATGCTTTGATTTAATTTCAAATTAATTTATGAATTATATTTATAGATACTTGTAAAAAATGTGAAAATGGATTCAATCCTATGTATTATTTGAAATAATGTACATAGCTAAAATGTCAAATACATAAATAGATCCCTAAATTTGTTGGGTTTTTTCCCTCTTGTACCTCAACTACATCATTTTTCTATTGAATCATTGAACCACCCATAATTTTTTTTTAAAACACTGTTGGTTGATTTTGATCGGCTTTTTAATTGTAAATATCTTCAACTGTGTTCGAATTGTAATAATTTTGATTGAAAGAATGAAGAGAAACTGTGTTAGTCTCATTTGTTTTCTATTGTGTTCAAATGACTTAAGTAATACACGATTGTTCTTGAACATTTTCACTATCAATTAGACTAATGATTTGTGGAACAACATATGTATCCTCTATCAATACCCCTCACAAATCCGGTTTCACATCAGACAACGGTGTTTGTTTAAACGGAATAAATTATGGGGGTTCAATGATTCAATAGGAAACTGACGTAGCTGAGGATGTGAGGGAAAAAATCCAACAAGTTTAGAGACTTGCTTATGTATTTGGCCTAGATAAAATTATGTCTCACGGCATCTCCAGCCCAATCATCTATTTTACTCTCCAAATATAGAGTTGTCTATTTTTTCGTACAATCACTACAACAAAAACAACTTTTAGCAGCATTAAATTATTGACACTAATAAAGAGTGCTAAAATCTTTATAGGTATTAGTTAAGTGACATTAGAACCAATTTCGCTAAAGGCTTTAAGGACATATACAAAGAGTGATAATTGACGCTAAAAGTCATTTTTGTTGTAGTGAATCAATTCCGACCCAATTTTCAATTTACTCTCTAAAAAGAAATTTTTTTTTCTCTCCTCAATATTATATTATTATTTCTATTTCATTCTTATTTTATTTCATAATATAAATTCTTTATTTCTTTTTTCTCAAATAATTACCTTATATATTTTTTTTAATGTGATATAAAATTATATTTTATCTTAAATTTTTAAATATTATAAATTGCAAGAAAATATCAATACATAAATTAGGGGGGCAAATTCAAATAAAAGTGACATACAATTACATAAACACTCAATTTTTAAAATCATTACGTTGCTCCAATATATGCTCAATAATGCATTACGGAGATAAAAATGAACATTTTTGTTCTTAATTTTTTTATGTCTAGCTAAAAATTATTCAAACCGGAGATTTTCATCTACCACCACTTCTATAGTTGGATTTGGAGCCTCTACGACATCTTGAATTGGTGCATTGAGAAACTATTACACTACGTTTGGATCATTGTTATCCATTGTATTGTATTGTATCGTTACTATACCTACAATTGTTGATTGTTACTTAAAATGTTTTGTACTGTATTGTTAAATTTCGTTGTTACGTAACAATGAAAACCCCTATTTTATGGAAAAATCAATTTGGTGTTTTCCTATTGTTACTTGATTTCTTTTTCCAATTATATTTTTATATAACATTTCAAAATACTATTTATCCTTTACCTTAATTATTTAAACTTAGTCAAACCTACTACCCTAGAATAATTACGAATATTTAACTTATAAATTACAATGCGGTACGATATAATCAAAACCAAATAATTAAAATGTTACTAAACAACAACAAACAATACAATTTGGTCAAACATTGTATCCATTATACAATACAGTACAATATAGTATAATATAATACAATACATTATGAAACAATGAGTAAGAATGATCCAAACAAAGTGTTAGTGATCTAAATGTTCATGATTACATTCAACAAGAACAACAACGAATACTTGAAAAAAGAAATCAACAATCACAACCGCAGTCACAATCGCAATCACAACCACAACCACAATCACAATAATTTTCAGAATCATATCTTAATTTTTTTTTTCTGAATTGTGCTACATTTGAAAACGACCTACCGGATTACTAAATTATTATTGTGATCAATTAATTATTATGTTATGTATTGTATTTTATCTTTTCTTTAAATTATTATGTTATGTGTTGTATTGTTATCTTGTATGTAATTATAATGTTATGTATTGTATTATTGACTTGTATTTAAATTATCATATCATGTATTGTATTTTTAAATTAAAATTTTCATCTTGCCATTTTTATTTTTTGTATTCCTTAAAATGAAAATTAGTAATAAAATAAAATTTCATTATTGATGGTAGGTTAGGTAGTGATTAGAATTGTAATTTATTTATTTGACAGAGATTAGAGTTATAATTGAACAAGTATTCAAATTAAATCCAAAACTAGTCCTACTAGAGATGTGGCTAAAATGTAGTACAAGTTCAACTGGTATGCGTTATCGACACATGCTGTTCACGTGCTTCTACTTCAGGTTTTGGTCTCACCGTCGACAGACTTAGATCTCCCTTGCCGTAACAACTCTTCCTTCTTCCCGGCGAACTTCACTCTCTTCTCTCTCTCTCATCTCAGTCAGTATTCCAGCAGTAAACATGATGGGATATGAGAATCAAGAGTCCCACCTTTATGCATCCAAAAAGGAGATGGAATCCCTGGTACTCGACGACGATTCTCCCAACGGCACTTCTCATCCTTTCTCCGATCCACTTTCATCATCATCATCTCTTCCTTTCGCTGAAATCCCTACTGACCAAGGTCAAACCCCTAATTCTTCCTTCAATTCCATCCTCGAACCTCCTTCTTATGCTGAGGCTATTTTCAGATCCTTTGACGCTGATCACTCCTCTCCTCAACTCAACGGCGCTCATGATCACTCTATCGCTTCTCCTTCTTCACTTCCATCCTCCGACGACTTTTTGACCATTACCGTTTCCGATCCACAGAAAGAGCAAGAGTTGTCCAATTCTCTAGTTCCTGGGGGGACTGCTTATGTTACCTACCTAATTACTACCAGGACGAATTTACCGGAATTTGATGGAACTGAATTTAGTGTGAGGAGGAGGTTTAGAGATGTGGTCACTTTGTCCGACCGATTAGCTGAGTCGTATAGAGGTTTTTTCATTCCGATAAGACCGGATAAGAGTGTTGTTGAGAGTCAGGTGATGCAGAAACAGGAATTTGTGGAACAGAGGAGAGCAGCACTGGAGAAGTACCTCAGGAGATTAGCTGCGCATCCTGTGATAAGGAGGAGTGAGGAGCTAAGAATGTTTTTGGAGGCGAATGGGAAGCTTCCGCTGGTGAGGACAACAGATGTGGCATCCAGGATGTTGGATGGGGCAGTGCAGTTACCCAAGCAGATTTTTGGTGAGACAGCAGGGGGAATGGTGGATGCCAATGAGGTAGCTCAGCCTGCCAAGGGAGGTAGGGACCTGTTGAGAATCTTTAGGGAGTTGAAACAATCTGTGTCAAATGATTGGGGTGGTGTGAAGCCACCTGTAGTGGAGGAGGATAAGGAGTTATTGGAAAAGAAGCAGAAGTTGCATGATTTTGAGCAGCAGCTCAGCAATGTGTCTCAGCAGGTTAATATCTTTCGGAAAACATTTTCTTTTCCTGTTTGTTCTTGTTCTTCTTCAGAATGTGGATCGGTAAAGAGTTGTCATGTTCACATCTAATTGATTATTATAGCAGTATCATAAAGTTGGTCATTTATGCTTGTTCAATATGCACATTATTACTGGTCCTCTAAAAGAATTTCAGTTTTAATAAATGTAAGTTCACTTGGTGGGTTTAGTTACTTTAGTACACATTATCTTGAGACTTTCATGAAAGTACCGTCTGTGCTCTATGCAGTAAATTTCTTAGACTGAGCATGAATATCTTCATTTGAGCTATTTAGTAGTCTTATGCCGAGAAAGGTATTTGCCATTACTGGCACTGAACAGTTATTCCTATTTTTCTTCAGGCCGAAGCACTTGTAAAATCTCAGCAGGATATTGGAGAAACCATGGGCCAAATGGGCCTAGCTTTTGTCAAGTTAACAAAGTTTGAGACGGAGCGAGCTGTTTATGATTCACAAAGAACAAGGGCTGCAGATATGAAGAATGTGGCAACTGCTTCTGTTAAGGCAAGCAGACTATATAGGGAGCTAAATGCTCAAACTGTCAAACATTTGGTAAGTTCTTAGTAGCTTGAAAGCTGACTCATAAAGATGCACCCAATATACTTGATCAGACAAATTTTACCTGACATTCATCAGACATGTTTGGAGACATCATAGCTAATTGTGCTTTACTAATTTTGAAAAGTTTTTGATACAGTAGTCTTTACATTTGCTTATTTTCCATTCAAGTGTCGGTATGTTGCAGGATAAGCTCCATGAATACCTTGGAGTGATGTTAGCTGTGAACAATGCATTTTCCGATAGGTCAAGTGCTCTTTTGACAGTACAGACATTGTTGTCTGAGCTGTCATCACTAAATTCGAGGATCGAAAAACTTGAAGCTGCTGCGTCTAAGATATTTGGTGGGGACAGGGCCAGAATTCGCAAAATAGAAGAGCTCAAGGAAACACATAGAGAAACTGAAGATGCCAAAAGTTCTGCTGTGAGGGAGTATGAGCGGATCAAGGTAACATCACATGTTAATAGTTAGTTTTGCAACTAAGTAAGCTTTCTGATTTTTGTATCTTCATTTGCTTTACTACTTAGTGAGCAGTCCATACCATCAACATCATTGTCTCTTTTCTTCAAACAATAAATCCTCTTTACTGTTTTTAAAATCATTGAGAATCTTTCTGTTAATCTTGAATATGACATGTAGTCTTTTGGCTAAATTCTTCTGGGTGCTGGTCACTAACAGCAATTGGACTAATTTACTTAGTTCCAAGTTCAGGCTTAATTAACAACAATTGGTCCAGTTATACTCAGTTCCTAGTTCAAGTTTAGTTAATAACAATTGGACTATTTACATGTATGCGCAATTATTGATATGTTGACAAGGACGAGGATTAGCTTGCATCCAAGGGTGTGGCCCAGTGGTCAATGAAGTAGGTTGAGAACCATGAAGTCTCAAATTCAAATCCCAGCGAAGACAATAAGCACTAGGTGGTTTCTTCCCATCTATCTAAGTCTTGCTAGACAAAGTTACCTGATACCTGTGCTAGGGGAGGTATTAAGTATTTTATGGAATTAGTTGAGGTGTGCTCAAGCTAACTCAGATACATAGACTGCAATGGAAGTCAATGAAAATGCTTCACCTGGTTAATTTGCACTGGCCTCCTATCTGCAAATTTTTGGCTTCTTTTTTCTCATATAAGATATATACGTATATATACATACATATATATATGTGTGTGTGTGTGTGTGTGTATACATACATATATGTATGTATGTATGTATACATACATACTTATATACATACATACATATATATATATATACATACATACATACATACATATATATATATATACATACATATATATATATATATAAGAACCAGCATTAAAGATTATTCAGTAATTGAGGGCAAAAAAGTGATACATATACTGCAATGGGAAGTCAATGTAAATGCTTCATCTGGTTGATTTGCATTGGCCTCCAATCTGCAGATTTTTGGCTTCCATTTTTTTCAGACAAAACTGGGACAAAAATAGACCATAGCTATTTAGTTCATGATATTCTTGTCCGCATCATCTCTCACTTATTACTCTGAGCACCACAAGTGGAGCTAAACTTGGCAATCTAGAATTTCATATCAGTGGATCTTGTTCATGCTTGATTCTATTATAGACTATTAAAGCTCTTTTTACCCATATTGGATTAGTGAAACATAATGTGAGGTTTCTATGGCCCTGATAGGACAGAACAGTAGCTCTACGAGTGCTTAAGATTAGGATTGGACATCACAGACCTACTTCCTCAGAAGGTTTATCTGGCACATTCGTTTAAAGCGTATTAACCTTAGTGTTGGAACAATATTTCTGGTTTATTGATCAGGTGCTGCCAACTATGTATAGTGTAGGTGATGTAGGTAAGCCGAGGCAATAGAGTTACTATTCAACATGTCCCTTGTTAAGAAAATGGCTTTTGAGCTAACATAACCCATCCCCTCGATCAATGAGGGACAATTAACACCCTTAGGCACTCTTACAACTGGACATTTGATGCATGAATAATACGAGGGCCTAACATTGGGTAAATCAAGAATAAAGATGGTTCAGGTTTTGATACCATGTTAAGAAAGTTGACCTTAGGCCTAAGCTAGATCATGAGATGAGTATTGTCCAAAAGAGACAACCTATTTCCTCAACCAAGGTGGGACACTTAATATCAGCAATCATGCTACAATAAAACAAATACTTTCATGCTACACTAAACAAATATTTTATATTCATGTTACTAGGCAGTGTATAGTCATATTTGAATGAGGCTTCTTAGAGTCTTTTTTTTTAAAATCAAAATAGAAGCTTGTTATGATTTTGTATTTGTTCAAACTTTTACGGTCACTGATGATTAGTCCTTGGTGTCCATATTGTTTCAAGAAGTAACCGGTTTGCTAAATCAGTGCTCTTAAATGATTTTCCATTAGTTTTCTTTTAACAAATTTAGGTGCTGAAGTTATTTTATGTAAGATCCCTCCAACCAGACTCCGGCTTCAATCAAGAGAGTGACGATGCATGTATTACCAGTTCATCTAGTTTAATTTGTATAACGGTAATTTTAGGAAGCGATACTTCTGTATTATTTTTTTTATTGGGCTCTGATCTGGGAAAGTATATAACTGCTGTATAAAGGGTATTTAATTTATCTTCTCTTCCATTTTCTTTAATACTGCATCATTTTTCAATGAGATTGACATTATAGCTGTTTGATGGTGAATCTTGTAGGAAAACAACAAGAGTGAGCTTGCGAGATTTGAGAAGGAACGACGTGATGACTTCTTGGGAATGTTGAGAGGATTTGTTGTCAATCAGGTATCTTTGTTTCTAGACCGAGAAAAAATGTATCTTGTCTTCTAGTGTTTTGCATCAAATGCCTTCTCGGAAATCATTGATTTAGCATTATTCTGAAGAACATGCTTTATTTTTCCCCTTGTATTAGTAAATGCTCGTAAGAGGCAATTGAATTTTTTCCAATATGTCCAACTAAAATTATAGACCATTTTAAACTCCAGATGTTAAGCACACTTAATCTAGTTATATCTATTTTTAACCATCTAGTATAGTCAGGGTAATGTCCGTTCTCCACCAACTTTCCAAAGAGTGCAAGTGTTCTAGCAAGTGCAAGAAAAATAAATAGGCAAGATATCAGCTTGTCCTTTGTGTTCCCTTAGAGAAATTTTAGAGTGGAAGACGTAAGATTTCATCTGAAAATCTAATGCTAGAGAAGAAAAAAGAACAGGAAGGATGAGGGGGGCAACTTTTCCGCTATAGAGATTAGTGATTGGAAAATAAGTACTCTGCGTAGGATATCAGAATATGCCACATAGCAGCAATATTTTTCCTGTCACAAAGCCGGTTTTGGGTCTTCACTATTGGTTATCTAGTCTTCTTTTCATGAACAACTACATCTCTTGGAGACAGGGAAGATCCTTGTTTCAATTACTTTAGAAAGGACTATGACATAATAATTGCATCCTCCCTGACCTCTTCTGCAGCCATAACTCAGGGAGGGCCGTTCTCCTTCTTCCCACTCCATCCTATTTCATTGCTACAAAATTGAGTTTGTTAATTTTTTAGCTGAATATAGAAAAGTTGTGTTGAATGGGTAAATGACGAGGGGAAGCTGAGAGAGAGCTGATAAAGGAGATCTCTACGTACATAGAGGGGTTTGGGAACATGTTGTAATCTTCAGTCATTTCTTTATTGCCTTGTGGAATGATCTTTTTTGGGTGCCTCGTCTCTTTTCCTCTCATATCGTGTCTCAACGGGGAAGTCAATACATGGTTTGAGACAAGGTCCATTAATAGAATGTCTTTCCCGTTTCTCAGTGAAAAATAGTGAATATTGATGAGGAATATTACATAGCTTTAACTGCTTTTAACTCAAGGTTTAGTGATGTATAACTGATGGACAATAGGTGATGTGTTTTGTGCTATGCCCAACACTAGGATTGAGTGTAACATTACGGTTTTAAAGTTTCCTGTGGGTTTGCTCTGTACTCTTGTCCCAAGAAGAGTAAAGGCTAAAGTACTTACGAACTGAGTTGTTACAAATTAAGAACTGTTGAGACTGATAATTGCTTGAAATGGTGCTGGTCATTTAGGTTAAGTGGCTGGAAGTGGAAGATTGATAATTAAGCAAGTGTTAATGTCGGATCTTGGGTCTGTTTCTGTGGTTTCAGAAGCTATGAGCACAGGAACTAGAGACCTGGAATATTGTTATAATATCACGAATTTTGTACTTGGAATCATATGAAATGTTGATGCAATGCGTTCTGCATTGCTTTGTTTCCTTCAGGTCAAATGATCATCTTTAAGGAAGTCAACAGTATAGTTTCACAACGCTCCATGGGGTGGGGGTTCAATGCCTGACAAAAAAGCCAAAGCAAAAAAGAATCTTTATTCTTCTGGGATTGTTTAGCCATTTCTAATTACTCTCTTCTCGATATGGTAGTAGCTATCATTTAGTTTTTAGGGTGCATCATTGTGAGTTCTAATCCACCATATGATTTGGAATACAAGCATGTAAATAACTTGGAAACATCCTATGCATGTAGCAACTGCGTTCATTTTAGAATTTCGGGACCCTACTGCCAATTGATGGGGAGTTGCTTCTGATGTTTATTCTAGTTTTCAGTAAGCTAAGGCTGCTGTTTTAATTTCTCTGGCCAGTCTCATTGAACTATTTGAAGTACTTCGCTTTGTTAAGCCATATTGTTAAACTGGATGATGATTAGATTCATTCTGAAGCACGATTATTCAACAGAACTAAGAGTCTAAGACCCTTAAATCTGGTTCTACATTAAATGTACCATTGGTGGAAAACACACTCAATTGTGTTAGCCACCGTGGAAACGTGAAAAAAAATGCTTTTTGGAAACTGGTAACTTAAAACTTGAAAAAAATGCTTGTAGTAATGATTACATGGTAACCGGTGTTGTGCTTAAGTGAAGGCTAACATACATTATCAACTCAACTCAACTCAAACAAATTTCTTACTGTCCCCTATTCTTGTTACTTGTTTGTGCTGTAGTTGGCTTTACGGTTTGAGCAATCTGTATTAGAATTTTTAGCTTCAGATTTTTGTGATCCATTCATTTCTGGGACAGACATGAGCAAACTGCTTGAACTTTCTTGTGACAAGTGTATAGATGAAACTAAAGGTCACCTTTCAACTTTTCTTAGACAAGTGGATCAATCATTCTGCAATGGCTGTTTTCAGTTGAAATGTTACTAATGATATTCCTTTCCAGCAAGAGACATTTTCCTTGTATTCCCTCGAAAAGATTTGTAGGAGAAATTAACATGTTGAGTTTTACCAGGCAGGATATGCGGAAAAGATGGCGAATGTTTGGGAGACGGTGGCAGACGAAACAAAGGGATATGCAAAACATGGTAGCTGAGAAGTTGCTGTATATAATGGCCTTTAGCATCTGCCTTTCTTTTATCTATTTTTAGTCCCTTTGTTTTGTATTGTACTTTATTTGTATACAAGCTTAGAGACATGTTCATATCTTAGGCATAGATGTTTGATCCAACATATTTTTCCTCGTAGAGTTCTAATTGATAACATGTGGGAATTTTCATTTAACAAAACTTTCCCCAGACATATTTATTTGTTGAGTTTCACAGCTAAGTTCACATGATAAAGGCCAGAGCCCGACACTAGGAGTAGGAAGAACAGGAAAAACCTTTGAGAACTTCAAACTACACCTGCAAATGTCATGAAATCTCTTTCTTAAATAATAATATTTGATTGACTCCAGTTTGTTGGATTTCACAGAAAATGACCTGCAAGGTTTTTCTTCCTCTTACTTGAGCAGTTTTTAGTGTATTTTATTGGTATAATAAATTATGGAAATTAGGAGGATTCCATTGCTGCTCAAAATAACAAAACAAAATAAGCACTCACTCTTGGGTATCTACAGACAGTAGAAGAACAAAAATAACCAACCTAATTCAAGAATGAAAGAATGGTGGCACAAAAAAAAAATACTTAGATGAGAAATCTAATGTCTAATCATCGCTTGCTGCGGCACCGTCATCCCCAGAACTGGTAGCTGTTTCAGGTCTAATTTCTTCTAGTTGCTGGAGAAGTTGCTGAACTTCTGGTCGAGCTGATGGTGATGGATCAACACAATGCAAAGCCAATTTCAAGGTGTTCAATAATTCATCCCCGATAACGGATGCATCCCTCATTAGTTCTAAATCAAATACCTCATTTGTCCACTCCTCTTTCACAATTGATGCAACCCATTGAGGCAAATCCACACCATTCATTGCTTCTCCTGGTGACTTGCCAGTTAGAAGTTCCAGTATAATAACACCAAGGCTGTATACATCTGTCTTTGTGTTTGCTTTCTTGAGTTTTGAAAGTTCAGGTGCTCGATACCCAAGTGCTCCAGCAGTTGCAATCACATTTGCATTTGCTGCAGCAGTCATAAGACGTGAAAGACCATAATCTGCAATCTTTGCATTTGTGTTGTCATCAAGTAAAACATTGCTTGATGTAAGATTCCCGTGAATGATATTGGCATTTGTATGAAGGAAGAGCAATCCCCTTGTTGTACCCTTTGCTATTCTCATCCTTGTTGCCCAATCAATTGGTGTATCAGGACTGCGAGCTGCAAAAGAACACTAAGGATTTATTATAATCTGAATGAAACAAAAGTGAAATGGAAAACTCAATTGTGCTTTGCTTACCATGAAGAAAAGTTGCCAAACTTCCCTTAGGCATGTAGTCAAATACAAGAAGTTTCTCTCCTTTAGGTCCCATGTAATATGCTCTAAGGGCAAGAAGATTTGGATGCCTGATCTTCCCAAGAATATTGACTTCACTCTCAAATTCCCTTTGACCTCTCGTAATCTTCTCTCTCAATCTTTTCACTGCAACTTGATCGCCATCCTCTAATGTGGCCTTGTACACCGTACCATAAGTGCTCTTTCCCATTATTTCAGCGGTTGCACAAAGAAGATCATCTGCTGTGAACACAATAGGTCCATCAAAATGGACAAGCTTTCCTCCTGTATCTCCTCCTCCTGCTGCCTCAACTTCTCCAGCAGTTGCTGGAACACCCTTTTCACCTGCCGCCCTACTCGTGCCTTGTCCATCCTTCCCTGATCTAGCCGCAGATCTTTTCCTGATCAAGCAGCATAGGAGAATGCAACACAGCAGAGCCAAGATTATGAGAAGTGCCCCTCCTGCTATGAGAATTATGTCCTTGGTACTTAACTTACGACGTTGCCTTTTTGGTGTTTCGGAGGATGGGCTAACTGGAGAGATTGGACATGGGGTTGATGCACTGTAACCACATAGCTGAAGATTACCCACAAAGGCACTCGAGTTGAATTTCCGTGCGAGATGAGTCGGAACGGGACCAGACAGATCATTATATGAGACATTGAAGGCTCTAAGATTTGGTAAATTCTCTAAAGAAGCAGGGATTTCTCCACTTATATTGTTATGAGCTAAATCTAGTTGTCTAAGAGTAGAGATGTTTCCTATAGTGACTGGAATATCACCACTAAAATGGTTGCCCCTCAAGTTGAGAACTGAGAGTTTCTGCAATTTTATTATGGCTGCTGGGATTTGGTTATCAAGTTGGTTGCTTTCCAAGTTCAAGACCACTAGTGAGGATAGATTCAAGAAGCTATCAGGCAAGCTTCCATTAATAGCATTATAAGACAAATCCAGTGTTGTAAGACTAGAGAGTCCCCCAAAATGACTTGGGATAACTCCAGTCAATTGATTATGACTAAGTGAAAGCTCAACAAGTTCATTCAACTTGCCTAAGGAAGCAGGAATACTTCCAGAAAAGAAGTTGTGATCAAGTGTAAGAGACTGAAGTTGGAAGAGTCTTTTTCCATTTCCATCCCAAGTATCTGGTATTGAGCCTGAAAGATTGTTATAGTTGAGATGAAGAAAGATGAGTGAGGGAGATTGTGCGAGACTTGTGGGGATTGAACCAGACAAAGAGTTATGGCTAAGATTAAGCCTATAAAGCTTAGTTGAATTAACAAGACTAGGTGGAATTGCACCAGAGAATGAGTTATTGCTGAGATCAAGTGTTTGAAGAAGAGGGCATAAACCAAGAGAAGCAGGAATAGAACCAGATAACCTATTGTTAAAAAGTTGAAGTCCTCTAAGATTAGGTATGAGTCCCAAAGTTGAAGGAATTGAACCACTAATGACATTATCATGTAAACTGAGTTTTCTAAGAGACTGAAATTGTCCAATCCTTTCAGTAATTCTTCCACCTAAACCTCTCCATGGAAGCTGAATAACAATAACTTGTCCTTGAGCACATTTAATACCAAGCCATCCACCAGAACAAGCTCCAATTCCACTATCATTCCAGCTTTTCAAGAACCCTTTTGGATCAATCAATTCTTGTTTAAAAGCTTGAAGTGCTTGAAAATCTGCTGCAGTAATAATTATCCCATCCCAATCTTCACCTGAAGTTGGCTGAATCCCAAATATCAGTAACTGAAATAACAAGAAAAGTTGAGCAAATTTTGCAAGATGAGTTAAAAACTTGTTAACTCGAAAAGGGTATGGTTCAAAACTAGTAAAAACTCCATCTTGATCTCTCATTTCCAATAAAGATTGAAACTTTCCTCCTCTCCCTATAATTTGAAACTAAAACACAAGTAAAAGAAGAAGATTTTGTAGTATGAGAGGAGCTAAGATTCCACGTGAAGTGGAAGCATATAGAGCTAAAACTATGAGAAGTTTTATTGGGAGACATGAAAAAGTGTCAGGGGGTAATCAGATTCACAAGACAGGCAGGCTCCAAACACAAAATAATTATTACTATAACGGCTAGTTTTTCTACAACTAAAAATGCTTTGGGCCTTTATTAGTGGATAGTTATGGATGGTGTGTTGATAAAAAAAATTTACTTTGGAAAGTGGGCTATTTTAATTTTGGCCACCTAATAATTAAAAACCTTCTCTAACGGCTATCTTTTTCATGTTGGGGTCCCTTATATTCTAATTGAAATTGATACTTTTGCCTTGTCTTTATTTGTTCATTTACTAATTTGGCCTTTCATGTATATATACTCCGTCTTAATTCAAAACGAATGGCATATTTTTATATTTAATAAAAATTTTATTTCAAAATATTAATTTTATTCTTGATAAAATGATTTCTAATCAAAAGATAACTATGCCTTATTTTAAAATTATTTCTTAAATTTCGTGTTAAGTCCAGACTAACTCGAGAATTTAACCGGGGGGGTCCATTTAGTCATCCGAGGTTAACTAGATTTGACGTTTCCTTAGTATTTGTTTATTAACAAAAAAATAATATGGCTCCTTTTTACTGTCGTTGTTGTCCAATTGGACAACGACAATAAAAAAAGTACTTCCCACTTAATGAAACATTTGGGTTCACATACTCAATAAGGAAGGAGTGGAGATTTTTCTAAAAAGAATAATGGTCTAATAATCTTAAATAGTTATGTAATAATAAATTATTTTATTAAAAGTAAAAAAAAAGAACATAAAAGTTGAGTTTTTTAAATAAAAAAAGGTATTTTTCTTTTTAGATGGATTAATGAAAAAATGTGATGGATAAATTGAAATGGAAGAAATACTAAAAGAGAGTTTTGAAAATGCAAATTTTGATAGAAGATAAGTTTAAATGTTTAATGAATCTTTAAAAATATATGTATTTGTGTAGGGGTTGGTCGTTTTATTATAGATTTTGTTCATGTTATATAATAATAGTTTTTTTCTTCTTGTTTTCAGTAGTTTGTCTTAATATGTTGTTTTTAAATTATTGCATTATTAAGTTGTTTTTTTGGTAGAGTTTGTACTATTTCTTTGTTATATTAACTATCTTTTTCTCAGTGTCTCTTGTTATTTTATCTAGGGAGGGCCTTTTGAAAATAATTTTTCTACCTTCACATAGAAATAATAAGGGTCCGTTTGGATGAGCGTAATAAAAGCAGCTTTAAAAAAATACTTTTGAAAGTGCTGAAACTTATTTTTAAAATAAGCAGTTATGCGTTTGGATAAAAGTGCTGAAGTTAAAAAAAAAATTGTTGATGTGTTTGGCAAATAAGTGCTGATAAACAGTTTTTTAAATTAAAATGTCTGAAATACCCTTAAAAGCCGTTAACATAATAAAAGTTAATTAATTTATATTTTACAGCCATAAATAATTATATTTTACTATCATTCACATATTTCTTTCTCATCACAAATTATTTATAAGAGGAATATAAACTTATTATAGATTTTAAAGATATATAATTTGAATAGATCAAAGAACGATTTAAGATTTTATTTTAGTTTCATCTATAGGTAATAATAATAATCTATTATTCACATATTTCTTTATTATCACAAATTATTTATAAGAGGAATATAAATTTTTATTTAAGTTATATGTGCAACTTATTTTACATTTTAATAATATATAATTTGAATAGATCACTTGAAAGATTTAAGATTTATTTTTTTTCATTCATTAGTAATAGTAATTGTCTATCATCCACACGCGAAAAGGGAAAAATAGAAGAAAGAGATGTTAGGGTTATGTGGGTAATTTGGAGATTGTATAAAAATATTAAGGGTAAAAATGTAAAAATGTGGTCAACT